TTGTTTTCTGTCTCCTAGCTTTTAAAACAGTAGACCCACTATTACATGACTTGCTGCTCATGTACAAGGCCTGACTCTGTGTGACTCCTGTGTCCCTTGACCCACATTCTTCTGGGTCTCTGGACAGTACTTTGGTGGGTTTCACACCTTCCAGCACTTTTTCTGGCAAGTAGTCCATGCCATGTCATTCTTTGACAAAATGTATTGCCTGCTGGGGGTTTTGCGAGGGGTGGTCTGTGCAGTGTTGTTCTTAGGCAGACTGCTTTGAAAGGACCACTGTAGAAAAATGGGTCTTGGGCCACAACTGCAGGATTCTTACCAGCCTTCTGGTGAAGCTTTGCTCCATTCAGATACATCTACATCTGCAGTTATCCATCTGGCATCATTGTGCCAAGGTCAGGAATATTGTTTTGTTGGATGTGCAGTAGTTTTTAAACAAGAAAATGGTTTTTGTTTATTTTTAGCAATAGCAGAAAAATACACATAGTTATATTCAGGATAGAATCTCATCCGTAACTCAGATTTTCCATCATCTTCAGACAATAGTTTGCCTTATAAGGATTCAACCCTTTTTTTTTGGATTTGCTGAATTTCTCTATTTGTGACGTTTCTGCCTTTTTGAACATCAGTTGTTTTTGTTTGATGAAAATGTTTCTCTATAAGAATGTTCCTTGATGACTACTTCTTTGCCCCCAAGCCTCAGATGGCTTGACAGGAACAGCGTCTGCTTCCTGCTGGGCATGAATGGGAAGGGAGCTCGTAGACCCTGATCTGTTCCTGCCTGACCGCCACTGCCACGTCACAGTTTCCTTCCTGGCTTCGTAGTTGAGTCACAGCTTTGAGTTTGCTTTCATAAATAAACAGTAACCTAAACCTCATATTTGGTTTAAGGTTCATCCATAAGATGAAGTGGAATTGAAAAGAGAAAGGATCCTGCAGTGTATATTTGACCTACAAGGTAGAGGGGCTCTGCAGATAGTAATAAGAACCCAGAGGAAATGGCCCCCAAGTGGCACACTTCCTGTGGTTCCTCATGATGGAAGTGGCAAGCAAAGACAACAAGGTGATAGGATGCTGCTGGTTTGGAGATGACAAAGGCCAGAAGCTGAGGACCGTGTGACTTCTAGAAGCCGGAAAAGGCAGAAAGGGGATCCTACTTGAAGGACCCAATCTGCTGACACAACATCTTAGTTTTCGTCCTGTGAGACCCACTCTGGACTTCTGAGGGCCAGAACTGGAAAATTGCACCCTTGTGGCCTTGGGAAAGGTACACACAGCTCCTCCTTGCCACCAATCCCCATCAGACTTCTGGTTTCAGTTATGTTTGTTCCCTTGCAGGTTCCCTGTTCTTGAGTCAGATAAGACAATCCCACCCCAGATAAATCTACTTTCTCTCTGCTGGACTCTTCCTTTCTTCATTTGCAGCTCCTGAGACTTCTGACCACTTTGGGCACCTAAGTGGAAGGGCGTTTGAGTACTACACTCCATAGTAGATAATAAAAGGAAGGAAGCTGCATACTCAGCAGCAGTCCATGTTATGTCCTCTTGGGAACTTGTTACACGCATATAACACATCTCAGTTCTTTTTTATCCCCTTCCTCCTCCACCCTTCATCTCTTGGTCTGGTTTTCATTTGAAAAACATCTCCTCCTTTCCTATATATATCTTTTATTTTGCTCTTTATTTTTCTTTCAGGTTTCTCATATTTAAAAAACCACACAATATTAAAACTTAATGTCTGATTTATTTTATTTAACCTTATGGTCTCAAGGTACAAGGCATTTTTCTACAAATGACTCAGGTTTATCCTTTATGGGAGAGTACTCTTCTGTTGTGTATAAATATCACATTTTCTTTATCCATTCATCTGCTGAAGGAATATAGATTCCTTCAAATACTTAACTATTATGAATTGTGCTGTTTAAACATGGACATGTACATAATCACTGTAATATGTCTTTAACTCTTTCAGGAATATACTTAGAAGGAGAGAGCAGGTAGGTTGAGTGGAATTTCTAGTGTTTGTATTGTGAGGGATCTCTCTCCTTACTGATTTCCATAGTATTCCTACCAATAGTGAAAAAGAGTTTCTTTTTCCCTGCACCCTGCCCAGGACTTGATATTATTTGATTTATTGATGATAGCCATTTTTTCTGGAGTAAGATGGAATCTCGGCATTGTTTTCATTTGCATTTTTTAATAGCCAGAGATGTTGAACCTTTTTTTCATGTATGTATGTATGTGCCATTTGTACTACTACTTCTGAGAAATGCCTATTTCATTGGTCCATTTTTTGATTGGGTCTTTTATGGGGGGTTGTTCTTTATATATTGTAGATACAAGACCTCTGTCTGAGGAGTAGATGGCAAAATTGTTTTCCCATTCTCTTGGTTGTCTACACTGTTTTGGTTGTTCTCTTTTGTTGTTGTTGTTTTGTTTTTTCTATTTACCTTTTGGTTTTTGGAGACAGGGTTTCACTAGGCAGTCTAGGCTGGCCTTGAACTCACTACATAGCCTAGGCTGGCCTCAGCCTCCTAAGTGCGAGAATTACAGGCTTGCACCACCACACCTGACTGGTTGATTCCTTTGCTGTGCAGAAGCCTTTTAATTTGATATGCTGTCATTTGTGTACTATTTCTTACACTACTGAGGTTCTTTTCAGAAAGTCCTTACCTGTGTCTGTCATCAAGAATTTTACCGATTTTGTCTTTTAGCAGCTTAAGTGTTTCTGTTTTAACATTTAGTTCTTTGATCCATTTTGATTTTAGTTCATTACATAGTGAGATATATGTGTCTAGATTGAATCTTCTCCATGGGGATAACCTGTTTTCCTAGCACCATTTGCTAAAAAGTGGCTGCCTTTCCTTCAGTGTATATTTTTGGTCCCTTTGTCAAAAATCAGATGGCTGAATGTGTCTGGAGTTGTTTCTCCATTCTCTGTTCTTTTCCAATGAGCCACATATCTGTTTTTGTGCTGGTAATATGTTGGTTTTTTTAATCACTATAGCTGTGTAATATAATTTCAAATCAGGGTTTATGATGTCTCCTGCTTTGCTTTTGTTACCTGAGATTGCTTTTACTATTCTAGGTCTCTTCTGACTCCATATGAATTTTAAAGTTGTTTTCTCTAATTCTGTAAGTATGCTGTTGATATTTTGATTGGAATTGCATTAAGTCTGTGTATCAGTTTTGGAAATGTGGCTATTTTGACTGTATTGGTACTGTCTTTTCATTTTCTGGTATTCTCCTCAGTCTCCTTTTTCGGAGCACTATATTTTCATTTTAGAGGTCCTTTACTTCCTTGTTTAGGTTAATTTCAAAGTATTTAATTTTTCTTGCTGGTATTGTAAATGGTATTGTTTTCCTCATTTCTTTCTTAATGAGTTCATTATTGGTATATGAGAATGCTAATTATTTTTGTGTGTTTATTTTGTACCCTGCTATATTACTGAATTTGGTTATTAGTTCTAAGAGTATTTGGTGGAATTATTTTGGGTCTTTTATGTAGAAGATAATGTCAACTGCAAATATATCCCTTTTATTTGTTTGTCTTGCCTGATTGCTCTAGCTAATGTTCTGAGTACTATGTTGAACAGAAGTGGAGATAGTGGACATTCTTGTTTTGTTTCTTACTTAGTGGAAAAGCTTTTAGCATTCCCGCATGTAATACAATGTTGGCTGTAAATTTGTCATAAATGGCTTTTATCAGTTTGAGATAAGGTTCTTTTATACCTATTTTCTTCAGACTTTTTATCATAAATAGATGTTAAATTTTGGCACAGGCTTTTTCTGCGTCTGTTCAGATGATCTGTTTATGTGATTTGCGTCTGTATGTTTATTGATTTGTGTCGGTTGAACCATCCTTGCATCCCTGGGATGAAACTTGGTTGGTCATGATCTTTTTGATGATTTGTTACATTATTTGCCAGTATCTTGTTAAGGATTTTTTAAAAATCTGTATTCATTAAAGAGATTGGCCTGTAGTTCTCTTTTTTGGTTTGGAATCAGCATAATGCTGGCTTCCAAAAATGACTTAAGAGAGTACTCCTTCCCTTTCAATTTCATTAAAAAGTTTGAGGAGCATTGGTGTTAGATCACCCCTGACGTTCTTGAAGAAATCAACAGTGAATCCATGAGGACCTGGGCTCTTCTTAATTGGTAGGGTTTTTATTACTGCTTCAATTTCATTACTTTTATTGAATTACTTATTGTTTTTATATCTTCTTGGTTCTGTTTTGGTAATTCCTATCTGTCTTGAAATCTGGCCATTTTTTTCTGACTTCTCTAATTCTTGGAGTACAGATTTTAAGAGTAGTTGAAAATAATCTTCTGGATTTTGACAGTGTTCATTGTAATTTTTTGTGTGTGTGTGTGTGTGTGTGTGTGTGTGTGTGTGTGTGTGTTTTGTATCAGGGATTGAACTCAGGACCTTGCACTTTCAAG